TTTTGCATTAAAATCACAGTCGATATCGTATTCATTTTGCTAAGATTTTCTTTTCTTAGGAAGCGCATCCTATCAGACATTTCTTTCAAAAACGACCTTTCTACATCACTTGATGTAATTGACGCCTATTTGTGTTTTGACATCTTTCGGCTAAATAGATACTCAAAGACGGAACATAGTAAATACATTGTCTCGTTTGAGAATCCTATTTTATCATTCACCTATTCTATTATTTTATTCGATATCACAACGAAGTTTCTTCGCCGGTCCTGCCCGTCAGTCATTGAGAAATTTGTATACGTCAGCTTGAATCACCGAGAAAATGCTATGCTTTATATGAATTACTAATTTGTACTTATAAATTATTTTAAATAAGATGTGAGAAATAAGCAAATAAATACAATTGTTTGGCCGAAATCTATAAATTATGTCAAACGTGCATTACTTTCAAGAAGTTAGCTCAGATTCATTATTTCGCCACGAAACATAGTTTCTAAATAAAAGGTCTATCACTTAAAACTTGAAATTGCGTGAACTTCCCAGCTTTAATTATGACATACACCTTTATGCATTTGTAAAATGCACGCTAATCTTGTGTTTTGGCAGAACTAGAAGTGCACTGATGTCTGAATCTATCTGCAAAATGACCAAAGTTCTTCTAAATGTTCGCTGGATTAGAAACTGTACAAGGCAGACGATAGATCCCGAAGGCAGCGGACCCCCTGGACGAAAGAGTTTACTTAAATAGAAAGATTGTAGAAATCTACTTGACATCATATTTTGTGGATTTTATGGAACCTAGAAGCGATTTTTTTACGAAACACTGAAATTTCTGGAAAACGTTAGGGACATTATGAGACGTAATTTTCGCTCCCATCCTACGACACATTCTAATGAAATGAGACACCTACCGCAAATTCTGAGTATGACCGCCACGGATATGGAGGGGAGGCCTTTCCCTTCAGCCTCAATGCATAGCCCAACGAGGGTAATTTTCGGATTAGGGATTCCGAGGAGAGGGGAGCGAAAGAACGGGACTGGACTGACACTGAAACTGATTTGATTCTCCTGCCGCCTGCGGCGAAATTGGAGGCAATGAAATGACAAACTGTTCTGGAAAGCACAATGTGTCACCCCTTTGCATCACACATTCACCGTGTCAACTTATGTATCATTATTTTTTCAGCTCATGAAACCTTGAGATTCACTTCTAGAAATCCACTGCAGTACAGTCGTGTTTTTATGGTGAGTCACGATTAGAGTTTTCGAGCTCTGATGTTGGCAGAGCCGCTTTCCAGTGCACAGAGCCACGACCAGATATTACTCCCTGGCCACGGCCGCCGCTAGTCAACGCCCTCTACAAAGCAATTCACGATGGCGTTGCTCTAATTAACACTCTACTTACGTTGCCCTTGACACAGCTCAATGGTATTGCAAAGACCCTGACCACCATAGAAGTACAAAAATCCCAAACAGATCAAACCAACAAATTTCTGGTACAAAAGATTTGGAGAAACGGACAAACGTACGGACAGAGCAATGCCGCCAACTTAATCATCTCTCCTTTTACTTTTATCAGTAGAGATAATAGGTTTTAGCAATAGCTAAAAATGCGAAATATTACCAAACGCTGAAAAAATTAGTAATTGTATGTTTGACGGCTAGTCAACTATATTTATGAAGATTTTCAATCAGCGATAAAATGCAAAATCGATCGCAAAATGCAAAACCACGTACAAAGCACGGAATGGTCACAAATCTGCAAAATAATTGTTAAAATGCATTTTATGGTTTCTTACATGTTCACTCTCTAACTAGGGATGCGACATCAACAACACATCGGTGTTTGGAAACATTGAGTTGAGTGGCAATGTTTATAAATTGTACCTTAGTTTATAATTAGTACTTAACAGACAAAACGACAATTTAAAAAAACTGATGCTGAAAGCCAGCGCTCAGCCATCACAAGGGTCTCAGCTTCCTCAGTTCGCTATTCGGAGGCCACGGGAAGAGGAGTGGCCCAAGCCACGTGGCGAAATGTTAAATTAGGTTCCTTCGTTTGCTGATTTTAATGGGCAAATCTAACGAGCTTTAAAATATTGTTTTTATCTGAAAGAGTCCTCCTTTAATAATAATTTTCTCAGCAAATGCTAAATATTAATTTTTATAATGCTATAGCCTTATTTTAAAAGTTTTAAGTGCTAAATTCCACCAAGCCTATCTTATCATATACTGTCTAGGTGGCAGCGGCCCAGCGTTGCCAGATGGTTTGAAGTGTATTCCAGTGCCAACCTTCAAAACTCCTGGTACTTTCACTTCAATTCCTGATACCAACGTCAATTGATTGAAATTCTGAAACTGTTCATAATATAACCATTACGTTTTTAACACGCACGGGAAGTTCGTTAAACTTAACTCCATGCTGATTCATTTTATATCGATGAACCCTGAAGGACGTTATAGGAATTTCCATCTCGCAATAAACGAAATGGAAGACTACGACGTTCTATACTTTTGCACTGTGATAGAAAATCTTACTGCTTTTACGGCAGTGTTTTCACCAATAGCATAGCTCTTTGTTATATTCGTGCTAGTTTTAAATTATTCATTAAAAATCTTATTATATGAATCGTACATCATCAATTACTGTAGACTTAAAATCATAGTACATAAACGTATCAGGATGTATCCATCATGGTACATGGTATCTTCATTAACATTCTGATAACAATACCAGGATTCTGCAATAAGTTTGCCACCCATGATGCCACAATATTAGGCGACACGAGTTCCTTCATCCACTAATCCTTTACATAACTAGGAATGCTAAGTTACATTGAAGCTTTCATTGAACTTAGAATTCATATAGTTTTTGCTCGAGAACAGGCTTATAAGCCCTGTATTAAGCCATATCTAATTTTAAAATAACTCAATGTAAATGAAACGGAGACAGTCATATATTAAGTGTACACAAATTAAATTAAAATGTCTGTTATACATCACGATAGGTCCATAGCACAAAAATGAATTACTTGAACGCTAAACTAAAATACCAAATCTAAATAACTGATCAACCAGAATTTTCAATCAAAAAGAAATATAATATTATATTATGAAATAGTTGAAGCGAACAACTAAAGGCAAATATTTCTAAGTAATATTAAATGACCAACAATCACAATTAAATGATCACTTTAAAATTAGTTTCGTTCAAACATGTATAAACAATACCTGATTTATCAATTTGAATAGCGAAAATACCAAGTAAATCAATGGCCCAAAACGTACAATTAGTACTTAAAAAGCTACTTAAACTAGCTTAACTAAAACAGATTGAAACAAAATTAGCAAAAACAATTAAAAGGCACTACATCATGAAATAACTAAAATAAAACAAATAAAAAGACTCTATGACGCTTTTGAGAACATATGATTATGCGACAGTAACATTTTTCATAAGTTGCATTTAGCCCTTAGCTTAAGACGACGGTGACATTACCACAATGAGCAAAAATGGAAAAAGATGCACTCTCAGAAATGTAGAGAATAATTTCCACAAATTAGAAATAATTCAATGTAAATTCGCCCAGTAAATATTAAAAGCTCCATTTGTCAAAACTGAACAAATTCAAAACTAATTATGACTAGTTTCCTGCATAGAGGAGGGCTCTATGGGTCCCTAAAAATAGTGAATCAGTAGATTATCAAATCTGTTCCATTTTTCTCTATTTGCCCAAATTTATAATCTTGGCCAATTGGTAATTGCCGTCCTTGAATAAAATATCATTTAACATTTTATTTTATTCTCCGCACCTTACACACTTTGACACCAAAATTAAACCCACAAACAAAGTCTTCTAATATAAGATATATTCTATGCATTTCAAAATGCTTAATGTATTTATTCTTCCTTCCTAGAATCATCTCAGATTTTTTGTTTATTGCGTTCAGTTGTCATTTTAATTTTTGATTCATGTTTACGAGTAGAGCCCGGAAGTTTAGCATAATGTCTTTTTTATTATTCTCGTTCATTATTTATTTGCAGACGGCAGAATTAGGAAATATTGTTGTTTGGCAAGTGAGGGCCTGGACACACATCCGAGAATGCACGAGTAGTGCCGATGGCTAACAGCATCTGACCAATGCGGACGCCAGCCGACACAGTCCAAAAAAATCTTGTTTTGCTTTTGTAGTTTCTCTGCAGAGCGGAAAAATCAAATCCACTTCGGTATGCGAGAGTGCATTCTGGCAGAAAATTAATGTAGTGAACGATAGCCGCGAAGAAAAGAAAAATGGGTTATTAATGACATTAGAAAGACCTACGAACAGAGCTGCAGTACAATACACTTTGTTATCGACAATTCACGCTATTCATAAAAGGAACAGAACACATTTTTATTCCTCCTTTGCGCATATCTACTACGCAATAGTTATGTTCTTGCCCGTTTCCATTCTGCCGTACCCTGGAATGACCGGACCTGTGTCCCGCTCACCGCCCTCTATATCATATCGAATCGTTCAGTATCGACTGTAGACGTGCGGTTCTCATTCAGTCGGCGGTGACTTCGTGAAAACAGATCGCAGCGCTCCGTCTATATATGTTAAGTGAACGAGAGCGATTTTGTGATGAACGTGATTGGAGGTAGTCGACTTTATATGTGATGTGAAAGGATATGTGCGAAGTTTGGTTATTGTGAACTGGAACATAAATTCGACTGTTATTTAGTTGTTCATATATTTGCTCAATGATGAACAGGTGATGCACTTATGTGTGGAGTTGCATCAACTCCTTTGGGTCTCTTAATGAATTCGCATTTTGTGGTATCAGGTTATGTGTGCAAACGCTGACCGAGTTTAGTGAGGTATTATGTAGGACAGGACCAGAAATATGATATTGTTATACATGCATCTGAACTGATGCTTCATTTTATTACACAGCCAGCATCTTTATGTAACTTTTTATTAGTTTGTAAGTTGTGTACAAAACAATTTGCTGTACAATGTCCTCTCGCAAGCAAGTTGGAAAAGATAAAATTATATTTGCTACCAAAGAAGATCATGAGGTTCCTAGCTCTGTGCAACTACCTGACGCAGAACCAAGTCCTGGGCTGATCCTTTCTACCGGTGAAATTAACTGGAACTGTCCATGTCTTGGTGGAATGGCCACTGGGCCTTGTGGTGTACAGTTTAGAGATGCATTTTCATGTTTCCATTACAGTGAAGCAGAACCTAAAGGATCGGATTGTTATGACGCATTTAAAACAATGCAAGAATGTATGTCTAAATATCCAGCATTATATAATAAGGATAATGATAATGATGATGATGATAAAGATGATCCATTAGAAGCTATAGCAAATTCCTCTGATAGTCTGAATGAAACAGAACAAAAGCCAATAGAACATAGAGAAGCTATTGAATCAAAAGGTTCTTAGCAGAAATTCAAATTCATTAGGTGGTACTTTTCTTTTTGTGACTGATAATGAGAGTTGTACTTATATTAGTATTATGTTTATTGCAAGTGTGATAACTTAAGATCTTGATTACTTATTGATATTGATCCTGATTAACTGAAATATATTGTTATTAATTTAAGACTTTGCAATAGGAATCTTTTAAATGTACTTCTGGAGTTGTTTTAGAAGATTTTCATTTTACCTTTTTTACCTATTCCAATGCTTATTTTTAGTATTTTGCCTTACTGTGGCCCTTTTCTTCCCTTTTGTCTTCATTTTCCTATTTTCAATCTCGATTATGCCGTAAACATACCTGCAACCAGGACAAGACGAAGGCACTGCCTCGTTTTGCCTCTTCAAAAACTTTTTGCGCCCCCTCCAATAAATGAACAGAATGTATCTCTCTGAATGAAATAACTTATAGGTCTTAATTTGAATGAGAAGCAAATACATGTTTCACTTGCAAGGGCTACGAAAGGAATATTTTTCGTTGAGTTTAAGATCATACGTCAAAAAGTGCAATTTTCTACTCCAATTAAAACTAAAAAATTGTACATCATTATATTCCTCTTCTTGTGACCTATCCATTGCTGGTGAGAAAAATACATAATCCTATTTAAAATATTAGAGATGATTAAGATTTTCAAACCAAAAATATTAAACAACATTTCTAAGGATAATGTCTTGCACTAAGGTCGCATATCTTGCAAAGAAAATCCCAAGGCACTTGCTGTATGTGCTATACAGAATTCACGGTGACATGGAGAATAATTAACCAAAGACGTCGCAGTACAAAAAAAAATTTAATAAACTTCTTTAAACAGTTGTTGTAACACATTCAATTCCCTTAAACACGTAAAATGTAGTTTCAAGCGTGATGTGTGAATCAGCTAACATTCAATTCAATTAACTTACATATTTGCGAATCCAAGCTTATTCAGTTGTCCACCTCCCTCCTAAAGAGTGGAAGAAACTCAATCAGCATCACTGTTTTTTTTCTCTGTACAGTACTTCTGTGAACAATAAAGTTTTTGCAACAGTGTTTGATTGTTGGAAAATAGATTCAAAAATCAAAACACCACACATTCTTAAAGTGTGTTTTAATAGTTAATATTGCACCTACTGTTTCTAAGCGAAGGCTGTTCCTTTCCTTGGGCCATAATGAATTCATCTGAGAAAAAAAATCATTGGTTCTTAGGCATTATACCCAGGAAGGGTGAGGCAAAAACTTACAATAAAGTTATATCATTGCACGTTCACAACAGAGTGGCCATAACCTAGAACAGTGCACTCACAAGAGCTGTTTGGATGAAAGCAAAAAGTGCTTCGCTCTGTCGGCTACCGTGGGCAACAGAATTGTAGCGAACACTGCCATCAGCATTATGGATTCAGACCCAGAGGGCGCAGTCAGCACCGAAAATGGGCGCACGTGCCGTTCGGAGGTAAATTTATCGGGACAGAACGAAGAAACCCTTTGAAAAGCCAGGGGCGGATCTAGAGGCGAACTTTGGAAGGGGACATTTTTATGTCCTATTGCAGATTATGTAGAATGATGCAGGCGAAACTCAGCTGATGTTGCGATTTTATTAATTTTAATGTTTATACCAAAATACTATTGCTTGCAAATTTCGTGACCAATTAAAATTAATAGTTACTGAACAATTTTGGAAGGGGAAACTTCCTTTTCCGAGAATCCGCGCCCGGAAAACAGGAACTGTCTCAGTAAAACCGAGACGTCTGGTACTGCTATATCTGCACCAGAATTCCGCATTGTTGAGCGAAAAATTCCGTTTTTCGATATCGTAAATCGTTTAGACGTTATGAGCGTGACCTATATATAATTGATGGGCACCCAGTATAAAAAGAAGCCCCCGGTATTCCATAGCTAGCGACTTAGCTTTCCTTGTCGCAATGCCGAGTTCGATACTCTGAGCAAACATTACAATTGTCGTTTTCCACTGCCATGTCACAGTATATAGTTTTGTAAACAACGCGAAAACTTCTCTGCGGTGGAGAATGCAAAAGAGACAGTTATAGGTTTACGAACTGCTTACGATAGATATCCTTAGCCCATGGTTGTCAGCAGAGAACTTTGGGTCCGGTGTAGCCCCGACCCCCACCCGCGAAAAAATTAGAAATGGGAAAGTGGTATCAAAAACCTGTACGAGTTATTCATTCCTGCATTTTGTAGACATTCACTGTCTACAAGTTGAAATAGATTTAGATTTATTCAGGCAAAAAAAAACAGTAAAAACTGTATGTGACGTAGGAGGGAAAATCAGTATTTATTCAGCCGTTAACTTCAATGAAAATACCTGTGCATTAAAATATCCCATGCAGTTCTACCTCATAAGTAGTGACTACTATGAGAAACTATTTAAGATACAAAATAATTGGAAATTTTATGAAATACGACTACTGTAGCGCGACTTAACTTATACAATTATAATAACGATTTTCTCGAGTTCTAGTGTCTTTTCTACTTGTTACTAATTCCTTCCCATCACCGGTCCCTTAATGCGCGGGGCCCGGGCGATGGCCTCATCAGCCCGAGCTGATCGCCGCCGTGGCCGCCAGGTTGGGACACCATCACTCGGCCTACGCTGAAAAGGCTAGACTGGCGAAGGATACAAGAGTACAATAGTTCTTTACATAGCAAGGATTAAAAAAAAGGAAAACTGCTGTTCCATAAGGTAACACGTTGATAGCCAACATTGTCAGGCGGCGTCTTCCTTGGAGCCTTGCTCTTCCATGAGTGAGCTGTCGTCGATTCCGGCGCTCTGCGTTTCAGAACAGGCGCGATGAGGCGATCAAACATTTGCATTTTTAGCCAGAAGCGCATCATCTTCCCCGGCTCCTAGGCATCTGACCAAATCAAAGACGCTTCTCGCAGGGCAGAGGCCGGGCAGGTGTCTTTGTTTGTGCGTGCATTGAAAATGCGACTTCTGAGGATGCAAACTCCAAAACAATTTCACGATTCAACGACTCTACGTCACGCCGTTTTACATTTGCACATCGAACCAAAAACATTCGATTGAACAAAATTTCAGTTCAGTCGTGCTTTCGGGCACCACCCATTTATCTCAACACCTACATAGGCATGGAACTTATGTGCGCCGAATAATGTCGTCTCTTCCTTATTTATAAAAACCTTAAGAAGTAAAAAAGGAGCCTATGCTGTTGATACTACACAGAAAGCCACAATTGAACATCGACTATATTCGTATTGTAACATTATCACTACGGATATTTGCTCGCTGATGTTAGCATTCAAGCTAGTCAAACAAATAATGGCTGTTGATTTATAATTTTCTCGAAATCCCCCAGAGGAATACAACATATACCCAAAATAAGTCCCAAAACTGCAATAGTCATTAACTTTCAAAAACAATACAATCGCATCAGGGAAATCCATTACAATGGAACTGATCCAAACACGAAAAATAATTGGATGTGATTTTAATAGTAATGAAAGAACAGCTGGAGATAGTCTTACCACCTATTGACACATACTCACCCGGAGATTTTCATGAGCGGGGGGGAGGGTATGTTTTATTTAACATTTACTCATATTATCGTATTCAAGAACTGTGTCTATAGTGAGCCAGTAAAGCATGTAGAAATATGTAAATTCATTTTATATTTTTATTTGTAATTTATAAAAAAAGAGACAACACCAACAATTTTTATTTATTTCTACGAATCTCAAGTAAATCACGTAAAATCTCAAGTAAAACAATATTTAATAAAAAAATTAAAATGCAGAAAATGCAAGCAAAGTCTTGAAATCTAAGAATCAGAAACATTTGAACGCGTAGTATATTCAATATTGTGCATGACCCGGAGAACTGACTGTTAACTTATATCTAACATGACAGTTAACAGTTTATGGTTCAAGGATATTTATCAATAAGGTATTTCTTGTAAAAGGGAACAACACAGGGAGAGATCAAAACACCAGTATAATTCATAAGAAAATTGATGACAATAACCTTAAATTTAAAAATAAATTAAGCAGCAAAGAACAAATCGTTATATCAAGAATAAGAACAGGTCACTGTAAAATATGCCACATCCACCTGTTAACTAACAATACACCTTCCATCTGTCGTATTTGTACACCATATAATTTAATGGTCCACAAAATATACACCATATAATTTAATAATATTATACATTCTTACAACAAAGACAAAAAATATTTTCAATGGTTAAAATTCGAATCAATCCTAGACTCCCCCATATTTCAACCAAAAAATTATAGAATTTTGTAAAAAAGCTAAATTTTTGATGAAATATAAATGGAATAGTACACATATTAAAATATATTACTAAACCACAATGCAAAGTCAAACATAGAAGTGTCAATCACAGAAAATCCAAATACAAACAAAATAATTTAATAATGAAATCAAATCTGAAAAGCTTGTTTATAGATAGAACACTATTTTAAACGAATTGTGTATTGTTGTACCGTATTGTACACTATGAATGCATTGCTAGCGACCGCGCTGTTGTCGCGACAGTGCATACGTCAATTAAAAAAACTAAAACGACTTCGTGCCTCGAGGAGGCGTGCGTAGCAAAGGTTGGCGTATTCCTGACTGCTCACAGGACGAGCCCTTCAATCGCTGCTCTGGAAATAGGCTGCGCTGGCCGTCTAGGGCAGGGGTGGGCAAACCATAGCGCCAAGGCCCCTTCACGTCCCACTGAATATTCAACTCTCGAAACTGATATTTCGGGTGAAAGTGGAAGAAAAAGAATTGTGAACACTTACTTCAAAGAGACATGTTTTTTTCTGATCGACTAAAATTGAGAATTAAGGAGGAAAATATTACAAACTTTTGAGTATAAACTAGTAGTTATAGTCTGCACAAACAATATTTTAAAAATACAATAAATAAGATCCGTCTACATTCTCGACATACTACATACCAACGTAGCAAACAGAATGGTATTGCATAAGAAACTATGGTAAT